AGAGGAAGGCACTGAAGGGCGAGCCCGCACACAAAGGAGGATAAATCAAACGAGAATCTGTGCTACTTTCCAGGACTGGGCTCAGAAAAGAATGTCCGAATATCACAAAGATAAGTAAAATTTTATGTTTCTTTGCAAACTTAAGTTAATCTTTCATTCTTACTGCAAGTGGCAGATTTCAAGAAGTTTTAACTCATGCGAGGTCTACCTTTATTGCCAAAAGGGTGAGAAATGAGTTGTTACCGATTTTGGTATTATGTTTTTTAATTACTCGAGCGTAAAACTAAAGTTGATGTATAATAGCGATGTGTAAATACTTAAATATTGTAAAAGTTATTGTATAAATTTTATTTAAAACATTCTGGCAAGAAAGAAGTTTTAGTCTGAAAGACTTTTGAAATGTAGTATTTCAATGTAGAAAGAATCGGCACTTGCTTTGAAAAGAATAGAAGTTAACAATACTAACTAATGTATGTTTCAAATGCGTAAAATTAACGGCATGTTATATGTTTTTATATACAATGTGAACTGTTATTTTAAATATTAAGAAATACCGTGATATGATATGGTAAAGTGAAAGTAATGTTAAAAATTTTTTTTATTCGTGTGACTGTAAAAAAGACCAAATCATGGTGAATATGTGTTAAAGGTTGAATGAATGAGTTAGGCTCTCTGACGCTACACTTCAGAGTTAGCCACTTTCAGAATAGTACTTCAGGGTTTAGAGTTGAAGTTAGGGGTGTTAAGAGGTCTTGGTATGTTGAATTTTAACACGTTAGTGTTTTGATTGTAGGAGGAAGTGTTGAACACGTATACATAAACATCATTTGTGTTTGGTGTCTTTTACAACACATGTCAGAGAGCACGGGGAGAGATAATTAAATAGTCATGAATGAAATAAGAATGTTAAGAGAAATATAAATATGCATGTTTACTTGCCATTTCATTGTGTAACATTTCATTAAACTAGTTTTCCTTCCAATCTCTGGAAGGAACCAGATTTGAATAAAAGCTCTGTTTAGATGCAGTACAGATGAAAAATTGCGTGTCCTTGGAGCTCTATTGTAAAACAAATTTCTTTTTTTTAAATTTCTAGTATCTAGTGAGAAATGTTTGTAAAAGATTGGCCTCGCGTTAGATTCTAAAGCTAAAGTTTTCAACAAGGTCGTTTTAGACCTCAGTTTCAAACTAATTAACTCTGGCGGGAAGTATGTAAGGATCTTAAGTTTTACTAACGTTTTTTTTTTAAAATTTTACTATCACTTCTTATTTTCTACTTCCAGCCAGAATTAAAAGCGTTAACTTATTTATGCAAAGTTGTCTGGCGAACGCCAAGTACTTAAGTTGTGGCTTTTTGCCAAGCGAGAGAGAGAGGAAGGAGTTAATCGAAGCAGGCCGCTTACCTTAGAAGTTTTACTCAGTTGCTGGTTGCCTTCCAGGCCAGAGGTTTAATCCTCTTGATAATTTTTAAACGTATTGTAGTGTTAACAGTTCTCTTACTACATACGGCTTCCTGTTAATATAAGGCCAATCTTCCACGTTTATTATTTCAAAGTTAAGTTAGCGTTTAGTTATATTTTTATATTCTTACGTTTAGACCACAAGTAGTGGGTCTTTGTATTCCGAAGTACGGAAGTTATTGTAAAGAGAGAAAAATAAAGGGTTTTGTATATCCTTCTTGTGTATCCTGTCTACTTCCCACAGTTATTGAACATAGCTTTAGTAAGCTCCCTGTTCCGAGTCAGGTCCTTGCATGTTCCCAAAGAAAGTAAGACGGAACATTGAACCTGATATGCTTTCCTTGAAACATGATTTTCGCAGTAGTTTACAGTAATTTTTCTGTAATTCAAAATAAAACGGAAAATTACGAACAAGTTTGTTGCCTACTTGCTAATACGGATTTTTAAAAATTTAGTAAGACCGAAGAAATTTAAATAAGTGAAATGTGAGAAAAAAATCAAATTTCTATTTAGTTCTGAATAGAAATTATTAAATTCAGAGCTGAATAGAATGCCTTCAAATCACTTTTTTATGTAGGGGGTATGCATTGTAGGTTCTTAGATGATTCAAAATTAAAGATATCTGGAATAGAAAATCTAAAGACTTTTTACTTTTCTAGAAATTGCTTTGTTGATCTGTGATTGTTCAATTACTTCCTCTAAGCAATTGTTTTATCTGAATTTTATGTGTATGTAAATTCTTGCACTATAAAAGGTTCTGGCACCATTTTTTATTTATGATCTGTATATACTAAATTACTATAAGCTAATATATTTGCTGTAAAGTAGTGTTCTAAAAATAATACATGTAGTTATATTGGAAAGTTACTTGCTAGTAATCAAAGTAGCCCATAAAGATGTTTTTCAAAATGTAGCTACAAAAGACATAAAATATTTCAAATTAAAATTCTGTGTGGATTCATATATTAAATGAATAGTGGTAAATTCATATACAAATATTCTGTTGAAAATTCAGCTTCTAATGATCTTATATAATTAGCAAACATTATGCAAATGTAAACTTACTTGCATGTAATTAATAAGCAATTTAAAAATTTTCTCTTATTACTTTTTCTCGTTCAATGTGGATTTATAATACATTTTGGAAATATGTACTAAGTATAGTAATTATACTTTTTTAACATTTATTTTCCATATTTAATAGGGTGGCAGCAGTAAAACCGCTGGAAGTGTGTTGTCCGTAGTATTTGATCCTTCTGGAAAGCTCCTGTGGGCTGGAGATGATCGTGTATGTTGAACTATGGTCTCAAGAGTAAACCTTTTTTTTTTTAACAAAATTTAGAATTATATTAAAATATCTAAAATTTTTAACATTATTGAACAAATAGACTTATTTAAATTTTGGTATGATTGAGTGAAGGTGCTGATAAACAAGCCAAAAACCAAGAGCACTGAGCTCATTTAAACCATTTCATATCTCCATTTGTAAGCATATACCATTTTTAAGTAACATGAGAAGTAGTTAACTTTTTTGTATATATGCTTTATCTGTAGGATCATCAAAAAAGAATGTCAGGACTAAAATATAAGGTCTACTGGAAAGTTCTGTCCGAAAATGTTCATTCAAGTTTCAGCATGCATGCATGGGTTCATTTGAAACATATATGGCTGTCTCTCTTTATCATTGCATTTATACACATGTAGTATACTAAATTAACTGAAATAAAAGTGTCTTGCATCATTATTAAGTGAGCTGCCATTGTGTAAACATGGCTACCGATAAAGTTCATTTAAAACTCTGTATTATGTGCAAATTCCAACAAAGAAGAATGCTACAGAAGCATATCAAAATTAATAAAAGATTTTGGTGAAAATGCAATTTCAGATAAAATACTCAGATGATTTGAAGCAGATGATTTCAACGTTAATGATATTCTAAGTTCTGGGTGGCCTCTTTATTTGATAACGATATTGTCAACACTATAATGGGGCAAAATCCTTTGTTGATAATGTCAGAAATCGCAGAAAAGTTTCACTCATCTCAGCTAATCATTTTAGACCATATTCATAGACTAGGATTGGTTTATAAATATTCCAGATAGGTGGCTCATGAATTAAGTGAAAAAAAATTTGCATGATCGAGGCATCATATGTGGATTTCTCCTTATTCGAACAACAAACCCTTCATCAGTCACATGATAACTGGTGATGAAAAGTAGATTGCTTACAAAAATATCATTTGGAGAAGAGCCTGTGAACCTGGACAACCTGCCCCCTAATCTTCTAAACGAAGCTTGCGCCTGAATAAAAGAATGCTGTATATGTGATATCCAAGGACCAATACATTACAGTAGAAGTCCAGAAATCCGCAACGCTTGGGACCAGAGGTTGTGCGGATTTTAGGATTTTGCGGATTTCAGGACAGAAAAGATAATATTCAGACTAAAAGTGCAAAGTAAATAAGGCATATTAAATATATTTAATTAAATTATTATATACATTAATACAATAATTAATTATATGCGTTAAATTATTATTACATATATAAACTGATTATATTATATTGATCATTTACATTAGCCTCCCCTATTTTTAAATCAGCATGAATCTGCTTCCCCTTTTCTCTCAAACAAGCATCTAGCCCCTCTTTGCGTGAACGAAGTTAATGTAAGGAGTAGTCCTGAAATAGGTACCCCATCACTCCGCCACTACCAAAACCATTCGTAGAAGACAGCATCGAGGTTTGCCAATTTCGCCTCATGTAAAGATTTCCGGTTTTGGATTCCTGTGTTAGAATCACTGTTGCTGTAAAATTTCAACATTTTTTCTTTATTGTTCCGTATATCATACACAGTCCGTGTGGCAATTCCATATGATTCTGCTATAAACTGAGCAGTAGCACCTGCCTCTATCTTTAGCAGAATTTCCACTTTTTTCATTACTGTTAATGGAACATGTTTACGTTTTTCAACGTTACAAGCAGTAAAATCATGAGTGCTTTTCTTATCTGTCATTGTATTAGAAAGTGCTGAAATTTAAAATATTCTTAATTTATCCACAAAATATCCGGATTAAAAAAAAACGACATCACTAAACAATCTTGTGAAATAACAAAGCTCAGAAAATACAACGCAAAGCTTTAACTTGAAAGAAGAGTTGAGTTAATTGTCTGCTTTTTTACTTCGATGCGGATTGGAGGGGGAAAAAACTCTTATCATGATGTCAATAATTTGGTATTTCTGTTATAACTCATTATTATTCGGTAATTATGATGTCATTTATCCAGTAAGTATTTTTTCTTTGATATTTCGTACTCCATGTTGCGGTTTCCGGAACATATAAACTGAATGTTTATATTTTGAGAGGCAACGCAGATTTCAGGTTGGTGGATTTTCGGTATTTGACTGTATTAACATTTGAAACCTAACGAAAAGCTTCACATGATACTGTCAGCTGATGGATAGTTTAAACAAAGCAGTCAAAGAAAAGAGGCTGGCAATGCTCATTAGAAAACACATCATACTGCATCATTGTAATGTCAGACCACATGTTGCTTTGGTGACTTATCAGAAAATTGTAGAACTAGGCTTAGAAGTTCTGTCCACCCTACTCCCCAAATCTAGCACCCTCCAATTATAACTTATTTATCTCCTTGCAAAAATTTTTGAAGGGGGGGGGAGTAAAATCAAAACTGAAGCAGATGTCAACCAAGCAGTTCTTCATCTCTAAGAAGAAGACATTTTTCAAAATTGGTATATTTGCAAATTGCCATCATGTTGCCAAGAATTTATATAGTACCAAAAATATTATTAAAGGTATGAAAAATGTATTATTTTCTTTTGCTTCCCAAACAAACATAATTTTCTGATAGACCTTATATATATGAATTATTAAAAAATTGATAACTATATCAAAAAGGATTACAAATGCATACTAAAGAATGCTTGAAGTTTTTTTTTTTTTAAATTGTAATTTTTTTTAAGCAGATTTTAACATTTGGTACAAGTTAGATCTTGAAATTTTTTATGCAAAATATTTTGAATAATGGAACTATAATTATGATAGCTAATGAAAGGATTATTATGAATCCTTTTCTATAATGTTGAACTAAAGAATCATTAAGCACAATATATTTTAATTTAGGTTAAAAAAACATGCCGAACAACGATTATTTTGGAAGTCAAAGGACAAAAATCAGTACTATATTTACAAATTTTTCAGGACTAGTTTCGATGGTTTAACTACAGAACCATCTCCCTCAGCTGCCAAAGTACAAATGAATAAGATTAAAATTAGCTAGCTGGGCAGGAGTTAAGTTACTGGTGCCATCTGTTGACAAAACAAGAAAACTTAAAGCAACTGCTTATCCTAATCTGTTGTGAAGTGTACCAGATTATATGCTCTTTTCAAAATTCATAAAAGTGGTATTTCTTTCTGCTGTATGGTATCAAATTTAAGCACTGCCTCTTACCCATTATCTAAATATTTAGTTTCTAGATTTTCAACTCTGTTAGATAATAAAATTTACGCCATAAAAAATTCAATAGAGTTTGTTAAAAAGTTAAAAGCATTTCTCCTAGAAATTTACTTATGGTTTCTTTTGATGTAAAATCATTATTCACCAGTGTTCTAGTGAAAGGTGCATTAAGTCTAGAAATCAGACTTCGTGAATTTCTTTTCTCCTGCATTGAAATTGATGAGCCAACTTCCTTTACTCAACTTTCCTTGAAACAAACACATTTTATTTTCCAAAATAAGTATTGTAAGCATGAGGGATTAGCCATTGAAAGCTCTCTTAGTTCCATTCTGGCTGATATCTACATGCATTATTATGAATCAAAATTATTTGAAACTTTAAACTTTCTGGTCTAGTTCTGCTACATAAAAGATACTTTTGCCCTGTGTGATGGTAATAAAGATAATTTAAATAAAGTTCTTTGAACAATGAATTCCATTGATCCTGCTATTCACTTCACTTTTGAACTTGAGACATCCAATTCTCTTCCATTCCTCAAAATTTTGGCCACACATAACACATCCAACTTCAGTACTACTGTCTACCATAAACCTTCATTGGATTGCCTTCCATCACACTTCAAATTATGCCATCCGACTAAATAGAAGTTAACTTCATTTTATTTCTTTGTTTTCCATGCACTTAAGGATTGCTCCTCCAGATTGGCTCTTGATCAAAAGCTATATTATTTAAAAGCAGTTGCTATTGACAGGGACTTTTCACCCAACATTATTAACCAAGCATTTAAAAAATTCTCATCTCAACACACCAAAAGGCACACTCTTGTTTTAGGAGATTATAAAAATTCTGTTGTCATTTCCTTCTTTCCATCAATTAGCTGTAATGTTGCACATATTTTGCAGCAATTTAACTTTCGGGTTGTTTATTCTCCCATCAATAAAATTCCGAGTTCCATACTCGAGGACCCCATTCCAGATATGAATTCCTGGGATATTTATAGGATTCCTTGCCAGTGTGGTTTAATTTACATTGGCCAAACTAGCCTTAAAATTCTGAGTTAAATAACATGAGGCATATGTTATGGAAAGTGAAACATAGAAGTCCTCTGTTACCCAGTGCTGTTGTCCTAAAATCACACTTTCCATTTTTCTGCAAGCAAAAATATTCAAAAAAACATCTTCCAATGGTGTGTTTCACATTAAAAAAAAATCTTTCTGTTCTAGTTAACAACCCTAATTCTAATCCATCTTTACCTTCAGCCTTTAAGGAAATTATGTTTTAGTTTTCTTGTTTCATCAATAATTGGTGTCAGTAGCTTAACTCCTATCAACCCATTCTTATCCTATCATGTTTCGTTTGCACTTTGGCAGCTGAGGAAGATGGTTCAGTAGTTAAACTATTGAAACTAGTCGTGGAAAATGTGCAAATATATTGCTGATTTTTGTTGTTTGACTTCCAACATAATATATTTTTTTTCCATTCCTATAAAAGAAGTCTATCAGGGTAACATAAAACATCCAAAAGTCCTTCTCATACTCATCTTCACTCCACACTGGTCAAAACGTTTGTTATTTTGCCAGACGACAAACATTTATATAATTTCAATATTTTTTTTTTTTTTTTTTAGATTAACATGATTTTTTTTTATATATAATCCTCTAGTTATTCTGTTCTCACATTTTTACCATCTCTATTTCTTTTTACTCATAAACTTCTTATTCATAAAAAATATGCTTTTGCTGTTCCTGTTTCCTTAAAAATTAAAGAACCTGTGCTCTAGGTTGGAAAATTAATTTTTGATTAGCTTCCATTTGAGCAATTTCTCAATTTTTCTGTAAACATTTGATTTAATTACATGTTTTATAAAACTCTATGACTGAAACAATGATTCAGCCACCAAACTTAGATTTAATAAAACTAGTATATATTGAAGTACAACTTTTAATTTTCTTCTCAGGGTTACATTGTATCATACCTCTTTGATCTGCACTCTGGAAGATTAACTAAAGGAAAAAAGTATGAATTTTATTAGTCAACTTTTTAATGATTTGAGAATTCTCATAATGATTGAATTGAAGTATAGTTATAACTAATATCTTGATTTTGTGACAGCATCATTTATATGTGGTTGTAACGAAAGTTTTCCGCCAAAAAAACATTCTTAATCAAGTTAGAGAAAAAAACAAAACAAAAAACATGAAAGCAATATCTATAGTGCAGGTTGTAATCACCACCAAATTGTATGATTTTCTGCCAACGTTTTGGAAGTTTTTCCAAGGCTATCAGCCGAGAAACGTGGTGGCCATGAATCCGAAAACAGATCAATTTCATTTCGGATGTCCTGTGCAGAATGGAAGATAGCACTAACAAGATGTAGCTGCAGGTGTGAAAAACGGTAAAAGTCCAAAGCGGCGATGTCGGGACTATATGGTGGGTGTGGCAAAGGATCCCATTCGAGTCTGTATAGAGTCCAACTGGTGAATTCAGACACATGTGGTCTTGCTTTATCTTGATGGAACATTACCCTTCCACATGAGAACCCAGTTTGACATTTTCCCTTGATAGTAGCATCAACACGGACTAGCATCTCACTGTACACCTTACTGTCAAGGGTTTTACCTTTTTCCAGACACTATTTGTGGATAATACCATGGCAATCCCACCAGATACAAAACATGATCTTTTTATTAATCAAACTGTGCTTTGCAACCCTGCCGACAGGCTCACTGGGTACAGACCATCCCACTTTTCGGCCTCTGTTGTTGAAGTAAATCCACTTTTCATCACAAGTGACAATCCGGTCCAGAATTTTGTCTTTGTGTTGATATTCGAGCAGATTAGTGCAGGTCCGAATATGTCTGTCCTTATCTGCTTGAGTGAGCTCATGCGACACCCAACGATTGAGCTTGTACACCAACGTTATGCGATTGATAGCACAACTAGTAGACATTGCACTAATGTCTAACTCCTTAGCAAGCTCTCAAGTGGCTGCATATTGATGTTCTTCCACACGTTTTCACAGGAAGGTCTCATCAGCATCAGTATGCCGGCCAGAGCTCTCTGCTTCTTGATTATCATAATCCTTGAGTAACTTTTCGGTACGAAACTTTCACAGTGTTATATGATACAACATTAGTACGTAAAGTTAGTTATACACGTGATTGACGTTCTGTTTTGAATTTTTGCAACAGAACTAGAAGCAAATGATGGTAGCATAATAGTTCTAATCTGGTAACATATTAGTAATCATTAACGTATTTAATCTGGTAACATATTAGTAATCATTAATGTATCATTAAGTATAAGGTGCCATTTCAGACACCTTGTACTTAACGATAACGATATTTTTTTACAAATTTCACGACACAGTGCTTAGCAAATATTTGTCTTTCAAATGCCAAAAATCTTTTGTCAAAATATGATTAAGCACGTCAACATGAATTGTTTGCGCAGACGATATTTGTGCTGGTGGGAAACTTTTGTTAAAACATGATATATTAATTCTATGAAATGGATAATTTGGAGTCTTAAAATCCTTTTCTGAGCAATATTACATTTTTTTACCTATGAAGGATACTTGTGAATGAAAACTGTGCCATTACATGTCTTTCTGCTCGTAACTGGGCAAGCAGAGAAGCAAGGGATCCATCTCTACTGGCAAACTGTGCGGCTGATGCTGTTCTACTTTTCAGGTATATATAGAAAAATATATGTAGCAATAAAATTAAGTATATTTTCATTCTATAAGGAAAAGCTTATTTTTCTTTATTATCATAAATATTGTATGTTGATTGTTGTAATTTTAGCATCATACGGCAAGATGGTAGTTTAGAATTGAAACGGAAATTTCCAGTCAAACACCGTTCTCAGCTTGCAATGATTAGAAGTTCTTTTTGCCCTATTATGTCATTTCGGCAAGGAGCATGTATTGGTAAATATATTTTATGGCAAATTTTTTTTTTGTTTTAATTAAAAGTGCATTAATAATGTTGTTACATGCATACAGGTTCATAATGAATTAAATGCAAATGAACTGATGATAGCTAATAAAATTTATTTTCCCAAAAGAAACACTTTACCATTCTGAAACTTTCCTCAGAAGTACTCTTACAGCTGTTCTCAATATGACAGAGCATAATCAGTAGTTACCACTCCAAACTACTAAGAATAGTAAACATAATGCTAAGCAAAGCACAACTAAAGAGCGGAACCCGCACACTGATCTCTCAGTACTCTGAACTAAACAACTTCAGTCAACTCTGACAACTGAAAACTAATGCTCTCTCGGGCTCTGATGTAGTTTTGTCCTGGTCATCAAGGGATTTCCAGTGCCTTCCATTTCTTAAAATTACTAGAAGGCATACACAGTTAATGTTATATACAAAATTACTAGAAGGTATATACAGTGCCTGATACAGTTACTGTGCCATTACAGTTATACAGAAACTGAACCCAGATGTCACCATTGGCGACTTTTGCAGATTTCTCACAGAATTTAGCCCATAGTGTTAAGTATTGCTAAAATTATTGCCGACTTCGCGATATCATGCCAATTTAGCGAGACAGCCATTTACAACATTAGATGGTATTACATTTAGCCATGTTAAATAGACTTGTTCCTGCAATCTTATTTTTCTGGCAAAGCTTTGCATTTCTTGAGGGCATTCATGTTACATTACACAAAATTCATAACAATATACTTCAATACATATTCAAAATATATGTGAGTAGAATAATCTTTTCCCCTTTTGTTTTTATCAAGAAATTACAGAATATAATTCTTGAAATCTGAACCTCTCAATAAAATGCATAATCTTTTTTTTTTTTTTTTTTTTTTTTATCTTTAGCTCTGTGACGTGAAAATAAATAATTAAATATGTAATATCTAATTGTATTATGTTGTAAGTAGTAGTATTTAAAAATAAATAGAACTCCAGCTATCCAGACTCCAATTATTTGGATTTTTAACTCCTTTCCAGATCCATTTAAAATTAAGATCCCTGTTAATTTTTTACATGCTTTAAACTTTTTCATTGATTTAAATTTTGAAAATAATAAAACAGTATTTAATATGGATGAATTATGTTATGTTTATTGCCTTATACTAAAATTTCACAAACATGTTATAAACGTTTTGAGTCTTCATTTATATCATTTTGAAAGTATGCAGATTATAAACATCTATAGAAAAGTAATTATGTCTTATACTTTGATTTATTTACCATTGTTTGTTACAAATTACTGTTTAATTATAGCAAATGCATTTTTCACTAATGCCTTCGTGTATGTACATTGCATTATGTTTTATACAAGATTTTTATTTTGGGATATATTTTTAATAAAGATTAGTATTATTTTACTGTCTTTATCAAAATAAAGTGGGGTAAGCGAAAAAAAAATTTCTTTACTTAATATATATTTGAACTATGGAAAAGAACAAATAACAGTTAACTGGGTTTTTGATTGTGGTTTTATGATCCTGGGTTGTGGTCATAGTGTGAATAAACTGAAGTTTTACCATATATGTTAAATATTTTGCATAAATTTAACAGCATACAATCAAATTCGATAGTCTTGTTTTGGTTGTATATAAGCTATATAATTTTTTTTTTTCAGTCAGAAAATCTTTGTTAAATTTTGGATTATATCACCATTTCTGTAATTTAGAGTGTTTTCGAACTACATGGTTTGCATAATTATATTTACAGTATTTATCTCTTTTTCTCATAACAGCTTTTGACAAAATACCTATGCATTTTAAATTTAGATGTGCTAGCTGAAACACTGCCCTGATATCATATGCACAGTGTTAATTATAACATAATTACCAATAGTAATTTTTCATGTAATTTGTAATAGCATTATTGCTGACTACTATTAATGTTTTCAATGACTTTTAATTAACAACATTTTCATAGTACTTCCTCATAAACTGATATGCTGTATTTTATTTCAGTTACAGGAAGTGAAGATACATGTGTATATTTTTTTGATTTGGAACGGGAACAAAAGCCTTGTGTCAATAAGTTACAGGGCCATTCAGCAACTGTTATTGATGTTTGCTTTAATTACGATGAAAGCCTTTTAGCATCAAGTGATGCCCGTGGAATGGTTATTATATGGAAAAGAGAGCAGCGATGATCCACATTTCTAATTTATATGTATTCTTGGAAATATCTAATTTTAATTATAATTTATATCACAATGGATTTTAATAAATGTAATATTTATGTAAATATTTTTAATTAAATAGGAAAAAAACATATTTTGTAATTTTTTAATGTCAGTATATTGCTTTTAAACAATCTATGATTTTGCCTAAAGAACTATTTTAATCTGTTTTTCAAATTTTACCTTCTTCTAGGCTCATCAGAAAATTTTTTTGAAAGAACTTCATTCCAGTTTTTCATTAATGAGGTTCCACATTCAATCTGTTCCTGTGTTTAAATTATAACAATACACCCTCCCCAAAAAAAGTTTATTAGTGCATATACATGGTGCAATATAACACTAAAAATGTTTATGCCTTATAAACCAAATTTGCCAAAATAGCTTAATTTCATCTTCAGTGCAGTTTCATTAGATTCAGTAAAAGGAAAGCTAACTTATTGAGTGAAAAATAAATGAATTTTAATGTAGTAGATTCTAAATTGCTATCCTGTGCTCTTTTCTTTTTTAAAATGTACACCTCTGAGAACCAAACCCATAATCGACTTAATATTAAAAAAATGTGTTAAAGTTATTTATCACTTTGACATTCAAAGAAAACATACTTACTTAGATTTATCACAAGGTGTAATGTGAAATCTAGGTTATGTGTTTAGTGAAACATCTTCAAAATGTTAAGCTGTTTATGAATGTCATTCAAATCAAACAGTTTAGTGTAGATGATTTAATGATAATAATACATTTCCATTATACTTCCAGTTGTTGGTAAAATAGCTCTGCACATAAAGTTACCTAGCTAATTTTCCACAACAGCAGGGACATCTTGAACAGAGATAAAATTGCATCCTTCAAAGATATTTCTAGCAGCCTGAATATGAAAAATTCACAGATTTGCACTATATGAAGGATAGGCAAGGATTTCCTGGTAAAAAACATCACAGACTGTTTGCTATTTGGGCTCCATATATGGTTTGATAATGTCACGAAGAAGAGTATTGTTGTTGTAGGACAGCTTTTTTGGATATTGACATTTGATGTCTTGTGGAGTCTTCAGTCATTTCACCCATTCCATTCATTTCAACAAAAAAATTGTACTGTTAATGAAGAAAAACTGTCAGCATCATTTTGGCAGCTATTTCTGAAAAGTGTGCTTTATGTTGCAGGAAAAAGAATGCACATTTTCTGTTTGTTTGATGGAAAAACACCAGTTTTCAACAAATCTTTGCAGTTTAGGACAGGAATGCTAGTGCTTGCCCATGGTAATAACTGAAATGCTGTAGGGCAGTCCTCATACATTATGTTTTTGGTTATACCATGAGATATTTTGACACTCTTTAAGCATACATTTTCCAAGCAAGGTAATGAGTATAGACCTTATATTAAAATTGACTTTCACTGTATACTCATGATTGGTGGTTTTCCCTTACCAAATCCTATGATCTTCACTTTGCACTTTTCAGTTGCGATCATGATTTGTACATGATCTGATCTCGAGCAGGACATGATATGCTTGATATCTTCCTTGAGATACTTCTTTCTGGGCCAAAATAAACAGTGTGTTTTTTATGGAGGCTGAGACGTATATGTAACGAGCAAGTTTATGTCCACTGGAGGCTTGGGATATTTATTCGTCAGTCGAAGAGGTAGAAATTCCAGTGCTTGGGGCTTGAAGACTATTTTCCCACACCCCATAGAGTGTATTCTTCTATTAGGGCCCGGCAATACGTAAAAGAAAATTATCCAAACTCATATGGCATGTTTGCAAATTTGATTTTCTGCAGGAAACGTTTTGTTGAGGGAAAGAAGTTGTTACTTCGTTCTTACACATTTGGTTTTTAAGATCTTCCTTTATGACTGTTGCAAATATTGTCACTTATTCTTTTAGCTAGTACATTTTTTCTCTTTAAATGTATTCTTGCATTATCAATATTAAAAAAAAATAATAATAGATTTCCTTTTATAAAATCTTGTGAGCAAGATCTTTGTTTTATTATACAATGTTTAGCAATAGAAATTGATTATTTTTTGCTAATTACTAAGAAGTTATAATGGCCATAGTAAATTAAACTGGACTACTTTGAATGTTAAAAATTGAATTTTGTTGAAAAAAAACTTATTTTCTCAGTTGCATAAAAACATCCTTAGCATTATTCCTTACATTAAGGAATAAAGCAATTTTTATTTTCGGGAAAAATTCTTAAGGGATGATTTTTTAAAGCTTGAAGGCATTTACAAATGCATAATTTTTCTTTAATTCCATTAAATTTATCTGTATTTAATGTAGTTTCAATTCATGTTTGAATTTTATTTTAATTTGATAATTTTATACCAGTTTATAATGTGTATTCAAGGGCAGTGTAAATAATACAATACATTTCATTTGAGGGAAATTTTGGGTTGCTGTTACTTTCAAAATGCTATTTAACAGCTGAGTGGAGAAGATAATTGACACCCATAGTTTGACTTGGGTTCAAATTCCAGTGAATCGGCTGGCTGCTTGGACTTTTCATGTTTCCTGCCATATATAATGTGAATAGGATCCAATATACCACAGAAAATCCTCTATGAAAGCAGACAATTCTTGTACCTTTGCCTTAATTCTATAAAAGAAAAGAAAATTATATTCAAAATAAAAAAGACAATGTTATGAATGCTCATAACTGTGCTCAGAAACCCTTTCTTTTATGAAACATTTTTTATGACAAAATGAATCTCAAGTGTGCAAAACTGAATGCGAATTTTTATTAATAAGTGTTGAGCAATGATAATGCAAAATGAATGAAACAAATTTTTAAAAAAATATTAATTTATATGCCATTGAAAATAATGCTTACATGTTTCGAAGAAAATCAGCAAAGATGCTAGGATATTGTATATTGGGATTCCCATGTTATACCATTTTCCGATTCCTTAACACATTGAGCGCCACATCAGCCATATGTGGCTGACACTAGACTTTCCGTTTAGGTCACGTCAGCCATCTGTGGCTGACAGTAGACTTTCTGTTTAGGCCGCGTCAACCGCTGCTGGCTGACAGTGTGTAACATGATATATAACTATAAAATTTACACTGTTTTATGGAATTACAGAAAATTTATTTAAAATTTACTTAATTTTAATTCATTACAGGACTAATGGATTTCATTGAAACATGGTAAACAAAAACGGTTCTCCGTTGCAGCTATTACAAAATGTGACAGCTCTCTTAGTCTTTTCTGACCATTACTCTTGACCCTACAATACCAGTGCTTTTAAGCGGTGTGCATGGCCTGAACCTTGCCTAAGAAATAAGTGTGGCGCTCAGTGTGTTAAATTTATTTCTTAGTAGGAATTTGATGAATGAACATGGAAATAGCCTCTTCTCTCTTTCTCCAAAAAAAAAAAAAAAAAAAGAGAGAGAGAGAGATGAATGGTACCCCATTTCCACACACACAAGGAAGTAATAGCAGAAAACTTGCAATCTGGGAACTTCATATTACAAACTAATATTTTAAAGGCTATTTTAGCATTTTTAACACGTTGACTGCCATGGGGGTCACCGGTGACCGACACTCGACTTGGCTACAGCGCCGTGGGGGCCACCGGTGACGCAGCGAATAATAAAAGTACATAATTATAGTAAACATGGATCCTGATAAATTTTTCAATAATACCATTGTTATATTATTGGTTTGACAAAATTAATGCAATATAAAACAATTTTTTTTTTTTTTTTATTGGTACATGAAAAATGTACATTTTATCAGTGCGTATTGCGATGAGTCAGATTGAAATATTCAAGGCAAAGAAAAGGTGAATCAAAGCAATCGGAACAATATGTCAGCACTTTTTTAGTCAAATTCTTTGTTCTAGTTCTTCCTAGCTGCTTTAAAGTTTTGTTATAAGCACGCCTTACAAAATCGCCTTACATTTTGTGCATTTCCCGGCCTTATTTTAATTCATGACAAAGTCTGCTTTGTAAGCATTTTTTTGGAGAAATACAATCATTATCGGAGCATTTCATTAGATACATTGTTAATTTCATCCTAAAATCAGGAATTGCAATATTTTCCTGCGTTACTTGTTTGAATAACACTATTGAATTTACAATAGAAGAATTTAGTAAAAGTTCCATTGCCAGTTTCTTGTACCATTTTATAGTTCTATGCAGTGGTGAGCTATAAGCAATCATTTGATCAGATAAGTCGACTGCAGATTTCCCTAAATTATATTCAACTATCATTTTCGGCTTTGCTTTTGAACAGTTTTTTTTTTTTTTTTTTTTTCCTGTATAATTGTTATTTTTGCTGAATGTTTTGTAGATAACATCAACACATCTCTTTTTGTCTTTCCATTTTAAGACAGTTACTCCATTTTTATTTTCTCGTGCGATAACATCTCCACGTTTTAATTTTTGGGCCACTACTTCTTTTGGATTGCCGCGGCAATTTTTCCGTAGGGTACCCAATAAATGTGTATGCATATCAATTAATCTTTCCGCCAGGTCAACGCTTATGAACCAGTTATCTGTGCAGATAGTGTGACCTTTGCCTAAAATATCTTAACAAAGAGCCATTACAATCTCAGTCTACCTATTTCCAGATTTTTCATCTGTATTTTCACCTTTGCCCGTGTACATTCGAAATGAATAAGTATGTCCTGGCCCACTACATAATTTAAAAACTTTAATGCCATATCTGTGACGTTTTGGTTTTGTATATTGGTGAAATACTATGCGGCCTTGAAATGGCACTAAGGATTCATCCACGCATGTATCTCATCTGGTTTATAATATTTTTTAAAATTACTGTTCAAATGATTGATAATAGGAGCAACTTTAGCTAATCCATTTTTAAGATCATTTCCTTCATTATTGCTGAAATGAGCAAACCGCAATAACAATTCGAATCGATTTTTTGGCATAATTGTGCGTGGAAGTGTCAGGTTATATGCTTCATATTTACTCCAATATAAAAATCAATTTTCGGTAATCGCCTAATCCCATCCATATAATTAGGCCAAAGAAACGTTTTATTTCATTAGCGTTTGTTTCATACCATTGACCTAAAGGATGCGACTGCAGTTCTGATTTCTTTTGCGTAGCATAGATGTTCGTTT